GATGAATCCTTTGCTAATTTCCTGAACATTGCTCTATTAATTCGGTGATTATCAGTAACAACACAAATAACTTCAAGTCAAAATATAGCTTTCCATCAGATAATTTATTATTCCATTTCTGTGAGGCTTTAATTTTTGAAAATGAAGAATGTAATTCTTTGATCTTATCCATATCATCGAAATTCTGGATAGCTTTTTCATGTTTCTCAATTAATTTTTGTTTTCTTTGCATTGGGTCAGTTCTTCTGGGTGCTTCAGTTTTTGAAAGATATGATGGCAAGTTTGGGAAAATGGAGGGAACAGCATTTTTTTTCAATTTTGGATATTTCAAAGGTATATTATTTTGGACTGTTCCATCCGCCAAAAATATATTTTCTGTCCTGATGATATCCGATTCTCTAAAATGACGACTGCACACAGCTGAATATTTTGAAGGTGTCCAATTTTTTGTGGGAATTGCCATAAGCCATTTGTTTTTCAGACTTTCGGTACTTGGGAAGCGAAAAGTTGAAACATAGCTTTCTGTTTTCAAAGCAGAATTATAGTTTGCATTGCATAAAGGAACACAGCAACAACGAGGCATATTGTCTGCGTCAAATACTTGATAAATGAAAAAAGAAAAATACAACCTGAATTTGCACGTTTTCAATAGTTGATGATGAGATGATGATTACCGTCCTGAGGCGCGAACAGCCACAGTCACACTTCTTAGTTTATTTTTAAAGCACAGAAGCACAACTGGAGTCTATTTCTCATATATTATAGTCACCGATCACTTTGAACACATACACACACTTTGAAGCTTAGAAAACAAGCTTATCTCTTAATTACAGCCTCTGGGATTCCAAAAGCACAAATTGAAAAGGTTATGTTTTCTCAGCGTTTTGAGCACGAGTTGCGTCGATGCAGCAAGCAGCGGCGGGAGTAACACTACCACCTACGTTGCCAGATTTCTTTGTTCACGGCTCGTAGTTGACGTCGGCTGTGATAATACCCCCGCCGGTGTCTGGTCGTCTTGAATCTCCCGGACTATTTACCGACTATAACCCACTTTCCGGCTCCGTTCGTAGCAGCCAAGCTCTTGCGGTTAAGCCCGAACGGGTTAAACGGATTGAGGGATCAGATGATTTACATGTGGCCACGGAATATGAGCAGACGCTCTATTGTTACGTCGTCAGAGAGTTGATGTGTAGGCGCCCTACCTCATACATCGTGCATATATGCTCCGCCAATTTGCGAATCACTCACAGATCAACCGAATGAATTGCAAATGCGATGCATTTTCATCTTGTTAACAATGATCGTTGATTTTTTCTGTACCTACGTAAAAATATGCTTCCGATCGGCTGATTGTAATTTTGATGAATACATTAGACATTACTGTTGTCCGCTGAAATTTATCCTTGAAGTACTATAAGGTTTGATAAGGATATAGTGTTTTTTCTTGTTCCATTATTGGCACTGGTCGACAACTGACCAGATCCTTATTTTCAGTATCATGCTCTAATATACCACTATTATATTTATACAGGGTGTCCGCAAAGTTGGGGTTTTCCTTTACGCGACGTGTAGATCTTGAAAACATAAGCAATTTTTTTTAGTACCATATACACCAATGTCTTAAGGGAACCGAGATAAAGGGCTCTGCAACATCAAAAATATCTGAATACCGTCCTGTAGCCGCGACATCACCGACTGGTACAAGGTCACTGGCTCAACCCGACGACAGAACTGGGTCGGGGTCAGTGTGTCAGATCAGTATGCAACCTTCAACCGACGGTTACGGTCACGCGTGTAGAGGTAATCGCGTAGACGAGAATCCCTCAACAAGCACTAGACACGAAGCTAGAAAAGTGCAAGTATCAAAAACTAAAGTGTGGCAAACGCTGCGTGAAGAGGGGCTGTATCCGTTTCACGTCCAACGTGTACAAGCCCTTCAACCTGACGATTTTCCAGCAAGAGTGCGGTTTTGTGAGTGGTTGTTGCATCAACATGACAATAATTCTGACTTTTTGAAGTGCATATTGGTGACAGACGAATCTGCGTTCACGCGTAATGGGGTGAATAACTTTCGCAACACTCAAGTTTGGTCAGTAGAAAATCCGCACGCTGTCCGTCGGGCACATTTTCAACAAACATTTTCGGTGAATGTTTGGGCTGGCATGGTGAACGGTATGCTCATTGGACCATTTATTCTTCCAAATCGATTGGACGGGATGCAATACCTAGACTTTTTACGCAACATTTTGCCTTCCTTGTTAGAAGATGTGCCATTAAGTGTAAGCCAATCAATGTGGTTTCAGCAGGATGGTGCACCGCCCCATTTTAGACGCGAAGTGCGTGAGTTTTTGAATGAATTATTTCCGAATAGGTGGATCGGACGTAATGGACCCGTAGCGTGGCCTCCGCGATCTCCAGACTTAACACCATGTGATTATTTTCTTTGGGGAGAAATGAAACGCTTAGTGTACAAAACTGAAGTGCATACGGTTGACGAACTTCGTCTCAGAATTGAACAAGCTGGTGCTTTCATTCGGGGGAGGGACTCCGTTCTCAAAGCCTGCACCGATGCTTGGCTACGTCGTGCACGCACCTGTGTTTTTGAATCAAACGGCGATAACTTCAAACAATACCTATTAAGTACGTTTACCTAAAAACTGAAAACGCGGCAACGCCGTCTTATTTGTTACCTCTGTTCGTGGTCTGCACCACCGCCGGCGTCTGCTCGGTAGCGCATCAGCTGATTTCATTTTCTGTTGGAACGGTATGATTTCGGGCAGAGACGTACTTAGCCCTTCTCGTCAACTGGAGAGTGAGTACTTTTTCCTTTATTTTTTTTTACTTGGTCGCCCTCGTTTCACTACACATTACCTTTGTTATTTCAAGGGTAGTTGTTTCTGAAAAGGAAAACCCCAACTTTGCGGACACCCTGTATAGTTACGTAGAACACAATTATATAACTTATTTTTTGAACAGGATCTTTTTTTTGTTGAATCAATTCTTATTTTATTGCTTTTTCCTTTTTTTACCACTTTGTTTTCATGATTGCTTTTTTCGTTTGCTTGTCTTTTGTTTATTTTTTATATGTTTTTACTTTTTACTGATCTATCTTTTTTTAAAAATATTTTCGTGTTTTAATTCAGTTTTCCAAACAAAGCTGCTGTAATTCACATCTTATTATGTACGCCTATTTTCCGACAATGCTTGGATGAAGATTCGTAAACTTGCTGGTTCTCAGAACTGAGAATTGAGTCTAAATTTAATGTTCTACGTGACTTCGTCTGTTTTTGAGAGTTTGAGACGAAACTAGTAATTTTGCATTGAAAAATGATGCCAAGAAGGTTGACTCTATACTTCCCCGCTACGCTATTATCTGCTCGTAAAGGATTATGTTTGACATAAGTTGGCCCTTTTGAGCAAAAAGTTAGCTACGAACCACAAAGAAAAGAGGAATTGCTGCAGGCGCACATGATCGTTGCGATGTCCAATCTCGCGTGAATGATGGTATTGGCCTTGCACACGGTGCACATCAGTGTGGAGGCGACTGCCGACTGCGACGTTCGGCCACCGGCGATGACGCTTGTCCATCCTTAGGACCACGTCTCACGTATCGACACCCCTGTACTGGGGGTGTCATATAATTGAGATATACCCTCCACATCCCATGCAACCCTTAACCCCCAATTTTTAACTCCTACAAAAATTTTTCCGAAATTTTTCGGGATAGTCTGAAAGATCAAAAATTTTTGGTATTTTTTTCCGCCATTACCAGACCGATTTTCGAAAACTTTTGAGTCTTTGGCAAAACAGTAACATTGTGTAAAGATTTCTCAAATTATAGCCGGTTGTAAGATTAGCGGACGACCGACAGACGGACAAACCGATGGAAAGGATTGACATGGTTTTGCGTCATGTCATGTAATCGCGAAAATTTTGGAAATAAGATGTTTTTTGTAAGCATCCAAAATCCAAAATAAACGTTTCATCATGTGTGGTCCAGGGATATGCAATGAAGCGGACTTTTTTTTCTCGAAAACTAAGTAAGATACGAAAAAAATTCAAGAGGCAAAATAGTATTTCTATTTGCTTAATACAAAGAACATAATAAAAACTGCACAAAAGTCAGTGGCGTACATTTTTTGTTACAAATATTCGTTCAGATCCCGCTTCAGAAGCCACTGGACTTAACAATGTTTATAAAGTTAGGGCTAAGTTAGTTCCTTAATGTTATAAATACCACCGTTAAATTACAAGGTAAAAGATATTTAAGATATTTACGAAAAAACACTTTTTTTAAATATTAACGCCCTGTATTTTGAGAACGAAGAATTTGCGGACCTTTGTTTGTATGAACTTTTTTTATATCAATAAACCACATCCGCATGCATGAAAAATGTTTGCTGCCACTGTGTGATAGTCAACCTCGTTGGGCGATGCTTGTGACTCAAACGACAAAGCGGCAGGCACAGACATACGGGGTGGGCGCGTTATTATCTAGGTATATGTAAATATATGGCCGGAAGGACGATACCAACTATTTACGAAGTGATAGTACAGCCGATTTGGCGCACAATACCTTAGTACAAAGTCGAATCATTTTTTAGCTACTTTTGAAATCCGGGAAAAAAGCCTAAATCACGTGATAAACCGATATTGCCCTATCCTTGAAGAGCGACTTCTTAGTTCTGATATTTGTCTCATTTATCTTGATATATTTTCTTGCTATACAAATAGTTTCCAAGTTATCGAAAAATACGCTTCAGAAAAAATAATTCTACTTTTCTGGATGGTTCGATTTTGCAGTGCATCGTGGTTTTCCGAATGAATTTATGGAAAAGATTGACAGCGGTGTTATTTAAAATTATTTGCAGAAACTTCCAATGCTTCTAGGCAACTAATTTCCTGCTCTAAGTTCATCTCAACGAACTTTTTTTTGGCATATTCGAATTCGTCGCCTTACCGAGTAAACCTACTTGACGCATTATTTCTCCTTGTTCCAGGTATGGCACGGAGGAGAATATCTACGAGGAGATCAGCGACTTGACGAAGGCTCGTCGTCGAGCTGCCCAACAGAAGCAACAGCACTACCATCATGCACATCAGGAGTCTATCATGTCCCTTCACCAAAGCTTGGTGGAGGAGGAGGTGCGCAGGGTGCAAAGCGGACACATGCGAGTGCTGGGGGAGCTGAACCTCTCCGTGGAGGCTATGTTGATGCCCTCCAACTCTAGGGAGGGCAGCGATGATACGGATCGCGAGAATGAGGACCAGCTGGCTGATCTGCTCACGGTAAGTCTAGGATTGCATCTTAGCTTTTTATATGAGGTTTTGGCCATGCTAGGGGAGGTCAAAATCACTGTGGAGGGTATGCTGATGCCCCCCAGCTCCAGGAAGGGCAGTGATGCCACAAATAAAGAGAATAAAGGATCGACTTGCTGATCTGCTCATGGTAGATTAAAGATCGTACTTAGCTTTTTGGAGGAGATTTTGGTCCTACTAGGGAAGCTCGATATCAATGTGGAGGCTATGCTGATGCCGTCCAACTTTAGAGAGGGCAGCGATGTCACTGTACATGAGGATGAGGACCAGCTGGCTGAACTGCTTATGGTAGGTCAAAGATCGTATCTTATCCTTTTATCCTATAAAAAGGGGAGTTCAATGTCACTGTGAAGGCTATGATGACGCTCTCCAGCTCGAGGGAGGCCAGTGATGACATGAACAGGGAGGTTGAGAATCAGCTTGCTAATTTGCTCATGGTAGGTTAAAGATCGTATCTTAGCCTTTTATAGGAAGTGTTGGTCACGCTGGGGGAACTCAATATCACTGTGAAGACTATGTTGATGCCATCCAACTCTAGGGAGAGCTGCAATGACACGGACCGCGAGAATGAGGACCAGGTAGCTGATGTGCTTACGGTAGGTCAAAGATCGTATCTTTGCTTTTTGGAGAAGGTATTGTTCATGTTACAAGAGCTCTTTATCATTGTGGATTCTATGTTCATGCCCTCCAGATCTATGGAGGGCAGTAATGACACGAATAGGGAGAATATGGATCAGCTAGCTGATATCTGCTTACGGAAGGTCAACTATGGTATCTTAGCTTTTCAGAGAAGGTCTGTTCATGTAAGAGAGCTCAATATTACTGCGGAGGCTATGTTGATGCCCTCCAGATATATGGAGGGCAGTGATGACACGAATAGGGAGAATAAGGATCAGCTAGCTGATCTGCTCGCGGATGGTCAAATATGGCATCTTAGCTCTTTAGAGAAGGTTTTGGGGGAGCTCAGTATCACTATGAAGGCTATGTTAATGCCCTCCAACTCTAAGGAGGGCTGCGATGACACGGATCGCGAGAGTGAGGCCCAGCTGGCTGATGTATTCACGGCATGTCAATGATTGCATCTTACCTTTTCGTTTGAGGTTTTGGTCGTGCTGGGGGATTTCGAACTACTGTGAAGGCTGTGTTGATGCGCTCGATCTCCAGGGAGGGCAGTGATCCAACGAATAAGGAGAATGAGAATCAGCTCACGGTAGTTTAAAGATCGTATCTCAGCGTTTTATTGGAGGTTTTGGTCATGATGGGTGAGCTCAATATCACTGGGAAGGCTATGTTGTTGCAATCCAACTCTAAGGAGGGCTGCGATGACACGGATCGCGAGAATAAGGACCAGCTGGCTGATGTGCTCACAGTAGGTCAAAGATCGTATCTTAGATTCTTAGAGAAGGTTTTGTTTATACTACGATAGCTCACTGCGGAGGCTATGCTGATGCCCTCCAGATGTATGGAGTATGCAGTGATGGCACGAATAGGGAAAATAAGGGTCAGCTAGCTGATCTGCCCACGGAAGGTCAAATATGGTATCTTCGATTCTTAGAGAAGGTTTTGTTTATACTACGCGAGCTCAATATCACTGCGGAGGCTATGTTGATGTCCTCCATCTCTATGGAGGGTAGAGATGACACTGATCACGAGCATGAGGACCAGCTGGCTGATCTGCTTATGGTAGGTCAAAGATTGTATCTTATATTTTTATAGGAGGTTTTGGTCATGCTAGGGGAGTTCAATGTCACTGTGAAGGCTATGTTGATGCTTTCCAGGCCGAGTGAGGGCAGTGGTGACATGAATAGGGAGGATGAGAATCAGCTTGATGATCTATCTATCTAGTCAGCTTAAAGTTCGTATCTCAGCTTTTTATAGGAGATTTTGGTCATGCTGAGGGAGCTGAGTAATACTGTGAAGGCTATGTTGATGCAATCCAACTCTAAGGAGAGCTGCGATGACACGGATCGCAAGAATAAGGACCAGCTGGCTGATGTGCTCACAGTAGGTCAAAGATCGTATCTTAGATTCTTAGAGAAGGTTTTGTTTATACTACGATAGCTCACTGCGGAGGCTATGTTGATGCCCTCCATATGTATGGAGTATGCAGTGATGGCACGAATAGGGAAAATAAGGATCAGCTAGCTGATCTGCCCACGGAAGGTTAAATTTGGTATCTTAGCTCTTTAGAGGTTTTGTTCATGCTGAGGGAGCTCAATATTATTGTGGAGGCTATGTTGACGCTCTCCAGGTCCAGGAATAGCGAGAATGAAGACCAGCTGGCTGACCTGCTAACGATAGATTAATTATATCGTATCTAAGCTTTTTGAAGGTGGTGTCTTACGTTGATGCCCTACAGGTTCAGAGAGGGCAGTGATGACACGAATAGCGAGAATGACGATCTGCTCATCTGCTCATAGAAGATGAAATATAGTATGTGAGCTTTTTAGAGGTTTTGGTCCTGCTGAGGGAGCTCAATATCACTCTGGAAGCTATGGTGATGCCCTCCAACTATAGGGAGGGTAGCGATGACACCGGTCACGATAGGACAAATATCGTGTCTAAGCTTTTTAGGGAAGGTTTTGTTCATGCTGGGGGAGCCCAATATCATCGTGGAGGCTATTTTGATGCACTCTAGATCCAGGGAGGGCAGTGATGTAACGAACAGGGAGAATTAGGATCAGCTGACTGATCTGCTCACGGAAAGTCTAATATCTTATCTTGGCTCTTTATATAATATTATTATGGAGGGTATGTTGTTGCCCTCTAACTCTAGGGAGCGCAGCGATGACACGGATCGCGAGAATGAGGAGCAGTTGGCTGATCCGCTCACGTTAAGTCAAATTATCGTATCTAAGCTATTTAGGGAAGGTTTTTCTTCGTGCTGGGAGAGCTCAATATTACTGAGGAGGCTATGTTGATGCCCTTCAGATCCGGGGGACATTGACGACTCGAATAGCGAGAATGAGTATAAGCTGGCTGGTCACCATAGATCAAATATCTATCGTATCTAAGCTTTTTAGTCTACGTTTTGTTCATGCTGAGGGAGCTTAATATCGCTGTGAAGGCTATGTTGTGATGTTCTCCAGGTCTGAGGATCTGCTGGTTGATTTGCTCACTGAAGGTCAAACACCTTATCTCTGCTTTTTAGAGAAGGTTTTCTTCATGCTGGAGGAGCTCAATATCACTGTACAGGCTATGTTGATGGCACCCATCACGAGAATGAGGATGAGCTAGAGCCCTCTTCAGTAACCGAGCCGTCCGTGTACCAAACCTGCTGAGTTGTTTCGGAGACCATCAGGCTTCCGGAAAAGACGTTGGCAAAACGTCAAGTGAAAATTTCATCTAAGTCTGAGAGGTGCTTTCCAATTTATGGGCAGGTCAAAAAATTAGTGGAGCTACAGACCGACAGACTGTTCGACGGAAATAGTCTTTCCTGCTGTCGATGTCATTCTAAAAACATATCTCATTTTCCAAATTTTTCGTAATTACAATACAATACTTCCTCGATAGTGGTGAGGGAAGTAAAAACGTTGATACAAAACAAAAACTAGAGGCAGTGTACACGTATGTTATATAGCTGTACCATAATCAATATGTTGACTCAATTATCCAAATGGGCACATGAACCTTTTTTACCAAACCTGTGTACTTTTTATCCAGCAACTCAATATTCCGAAAAACGATAAAAAAAACATCGATACGTGGAAGATAGAGGCGAACGAACGTTCGGCGAATACCGATTTCAATTTGTTATGGAAATTCATGCTAATGAGTATGATGTTTCATTAAGTGTTTGAGAGCCGTTGGAAATCCACTGATAGATAACAGAGTTCTTTTAAGTCGATGCTGGTGCGTACCTCGAACTCGGAAAGCATCACCTAGCTCATTTATCTTTAATTTATACGGCGTTGCAAATAACTTTTATTGCGTACAGAGAATTATTTATAATATGCACTTTGCCGATGGATGCTGAGACAGAGTAAGAAGTTTAGGAAAATGCTGTTTGCGCGGAACTTGATTTTAGAAAAGCAGGAGTTTTCCAATATGCTTTGGGTTGCTGAAATGACTGCGTCAAGTGGGCTGACTCTGCATTTCCTACACAACGCCGTAATCAGTTCATAAAAGATTAAGTACATCACAAGTTAAACTCTCTGACAAAAAAATCAAACGGATCAAGTCGGTCAAACAAGCGCATGCAATTACTCCACAGACATTCTTTTCCTGTCCTACCGGTAGTTACTGTCCATCTGGCAACGTTGCCCTCCGAATCACTGCCGCAGTACGAGCAGATCAATCAAGCAGACCGCCACGTTGGGCGCTGAGCCCAGATAGCAGAACATTCGTCTATGATTCTGCGTTTTCCAACTTAACCTTTGAAAGAACAAAAAAAATATATATAATAAAACATTCCACCAATAAAAATGTATCAATAATTACTAAATAATTAATAACACAAAAAAAACAGAACAATTACAAGAATAGTCCATATTTCTAGCATTTTGTATTCATCATCAGTCCTCGACTTGTAGTTTTAGTTTAAGCCTCTTTTTAAAATTAAATAATGTATAGTTTTGAAACGTAACAGGCATATCATGATATAATTTAATAACGTTGTAGCTGGATGATTTTTTGTAGACAGCCTTAGAATGTGAGGGTATCACTAACATATTTCTATTCCTTGTATTCAGTTGATTTATGTCACTACATCGTGTTGACTTATTATGCAAATATTGTGGTTGTTTGGTAGCTAAGACCTTATGTGTGAGTGTCAATAAGTGAAGTTCCTTAAATTAATAAGAAATATGATCAAACTTTCGTATTCCACAAGAAAATCTGACGCACGAATTCTGAATACGCTGTAATTTGTTTTGTTCACTATATGATAGAGCGGGGCCAATTTATATACTGTTACAATAACTGATCTTTGATATAATTAATGTTTCACACAGTTTCAGCTTTACTGAAGTAGATATTATTTGCCTATGTGGATAAAACTGCTTCAAAATGCAGTATGATGCACTACATAACGAATTTACGTGTTTTTTGTATTGTAGTTCTGTGTCAATCCAGAGTCTCAGGTTTTTACACTCATTCATTATAGGAAGCCGGCAATCATAGATTTTAAGGTTAATTTCCGTTTCGGTCAATGTTCTTTTGTTTTTTGAGCCGAAAACCATAACTGAAGATTTAGATAATTTTTAGGTTATGCGAACACGAGACGTCTACTAGCCTTGTTAAGTCTTCGTTGAGCAATGCTTCTGCCATTTTAAAATCTTTGTGTTGAAAACTAAAATAAATTTGAGTATCATCGGCATAGTAATGGATTGTGCAATTATGGACATATTGATCAAAATCCGATATATATAGAGAGAAAAGTAATGGTCCCAATATGGAACCTTGAGGAACACCAAACCTTGTAGCAGTTGACTGTGACATTTTCGAAGCTGTTAGGACCTTTTGATTTCTATTTGACCAATAGCAGCTTATCAAATTGACTGCAGCGTCAGTAAAACCATAGTAAGACAGCTTAAGTAGCAGAATTTCAGGGTCTATCATATCGAAAGCCTTTGTGTAATCCAGCAGAACTAAACAAGTGATATTTCCTTGATCAAGGCCTCTTATAACATCATCAGTGACATTGGCTAGAGCAGTTGTTGTACTATGGTTTTCCCTGAATCCAGACTGCATTGATGGAACTATTTCATTACTGAAAATATACTGAGATATTTGTATCTTCATTTCCCGTTCCAAAAGCTTCGAAAATGCAGGAAGTAAGCTGATTGGTATAAGTTGCGTTACAGACGTGGGAATCGCTACTTTAGGAATAGGTATCACGATAGCCTGCTTACAAGCATCAGGGAAACAGGATGTTGATACTGATGATAAATGTAATATGGTCTAAGAGCAAAGTGAAAATGTATTTCATCATAATGAGTGAGATTCCATCAGCCCATACAACATTAGTTTTAATAAATGATAAACTCGTCGCAACAGATTTTTTGGCAACCTTTTGGAAGCAGAATGACTTGGGAAACTGATTGTTTTGATATTTGTTCAGTAGTTCTAATTGCTTTTGTGTCTATGATCGGAGTATTTGCGAAATGTGAATTTATTTCATCTGCGTCATTGAAGCTATCTGGAAGAGTAATTATGGAGGACTTAATTGTATTAAGTTTTCTAAGAGAACTCTATATTGCTTTACTGTTTCTCCCAGATAGGATATATTTCGTATAAGCCTTTTTCTCTCTCGGAAGAGCAGCAGCAGCATAATTACGGAGTTCTTTATGATAGTTCCAGTGGGCAGTTGACTTACTTCTTTTAAACCTTAGATAAGCTTTATCTCTTGATTTATTAATCATTTTAATATTGTATGTTAGCCAAGGAGCTGGTGGCTTAGTAACTATAAGTGTCATTTTCAACATCGTTATCAATTCAACTTGATAATGATTTTTTTAAATAATTCCTAATAATATAAACTAACTCTTGTTTTCTTTGTCTCTGCGTATATCTCAGTTTCCGGCTTTGTTGCAGGTGGGCCCCACCGACGAGCTGCTGAGCCCCGTCCCTTTGGGCGGCGACTTGGACAGCGGCTTCAGCGGCAGTTCGAGCAGCGCCAGCTATCGCAGCGCCGCCGGCAGCCTTCGCCGGGGCCCTGACCGCCCCCGAAGCAGTTGCGGGGCGGCTAATATAGGGGGCAGCGGGTGTAAAACACCCGATGGGGGCAGCACCAAGGGATTCTGGGGCAAGAAGGCGTGGAAGAAAATCGCTTCGTTTCCTAGTAATATCAGCCTGAACAAAAGCAAAGGTGAGTGGGGTGTGGTTAATTAGTTTGTTTTTGGTGAAGGATTTGATCTTTGTGGGTGTGTGGAGGTAGGGTTGATTATAACTGTGTTATAAAGCCTAAGCATGATATCCTGTCTGTATTTCTAGTTATAATTTGGGGGAAAAATATAACTTATCCTGTGCTCAGTAGGTAGATAATGTGACCTCAGAGGTATAAATTTGTACTTTGGTCTTTGATATAAATCGTTAAGGTTTGGGCGCCACCTAGTTCCAAGAACTAGGAAAAAGTAATAAATAGTTCCTTTGGGTCTATTAAAACTTAAACTAACTGCCAAGTGATGGGTCTCTGGAGCTAAAGGAAACACAAATTCTAAAGGCACACCAAACATTTATTGAACAAAAAAAAATTTATAAGGAGACAATAAAGTTGGTACTACCCCATAACTAAATGGTTTCTCAACAAAAACTAAAATTGAAAAAAAATCACCTTAGTAGGTGCTTGGGTATTACAGATGGAAAAGGGTCCCGATAACAAAATTCACCAATAGAGACCGATTTCTATCAAAATTTCCACAACCCGGTAACCCGCAGCACTGCATGTGAAATATGTATCACTACGTAGGTTGTGGCCGCTGAACTGCTACACGAGAGCACCTGAAATAGCACCAAGTCACGTTGAGCACTCGTATTTAAGGTCGATGGAAAATACAAAAAAATTAACCTCACAACGACAATTCTATAACGAAACAATTCCCGTTCGGTTGGCATTCCTGCGTTGGCACGCCCTCTATTGTCAAACAGAAACATCAACCTCATCCCGAAATGACCTTTGAAGGGATGGAGAGTAGAGTACGATCCTCCACCACAGAACCATTAGGACAAGAGAAGTGTTTTGCGATAAAAATAAAACTCAATATTTTTAACAACTGTCATAAAATTGTTATTTTAAATAAGAAAAGCATTGTAATAATTTGCTTTATCAAGATATAGTTAATTTTTAGTCCACCATAAAAAGAAACTGTAACAACTGATTGTTTTTTGATTAGGTAGATTGTGGTTTTTATTCTTTTCTCATATAAATAAATACCGGGTGCGTTTTATAAATCTATATTTAACACGCCCTGTTGCTGCAAAAATCGCCAAATTTCGCAGCAAATATCCCCCGTATAAGATCAAAGGCAGTTTCACCGGTCCACGTGGAGTAAAGCACGCCTATGCGTGGACATAGCCAATGAGAAAGCGTGTATTTCAGAGCTCCGAACAAGTGCAGGTGGCTACTGAAAATTGAAACAGTTTAGCCAGTGCCGTGTAGCGGTGAATAAACGTGTTTTCTTTAGTCTGTCCGTGTTTTTTCATAGATTTTATTAGTTTGTGTGTTTTTGACTTTTGAATACTCAGTTTACTTGTTGATTTAATTGTTGTGTTGATTGTTCTTGTGTGTCCTAAATATGGCTCTTTGGAGACCTTGAGAAAATGCTCCAAGCCACGAGGAGATGGTTGATGAACCTGTGCAGGCAGAATTCTTTCATAAAGATTTAGAGGAACAGACCCAAAGAGTAATCCTAAATATGTATGATTGTCTGAAAAACGAAAATCCAGATTCCTCGCAAAATCAAATTTTAAACAGAATTTGTATCCTGACAAAAATCAGTCGGTCTACCATTTATCGGGTTATAAAAAGGGGAGATGTAGTATTCCTTCCACAGAAAGCGCATAGGGCAAAAATTAAAAAGAATAGACGTGGGTTTTCAGGAAGATATTCGTCGTATGATATACGGATTTTATAAAGAAAATTTGGTGCCCACGTTGGAAATGATACGGGATAAATTAAAAGATTATCCTGAAGATTTTTATAATTACAAATGCTTAGACTCACTGCACTGTATTGTAAAACTGTGTGGTTTTCAATACAAAAAAATAGATAAAAGAATGGTGATTATGGAGTCGTCTCGAATCGTTGAATTGCGCCAAGAATTTTTGCACAAAGTTAAAATCTATAGAGAGCAGAAAAGAAATCTGATTTACCTGGATGAAACGTGGTATGATACCCATGATGTTGTGCAGTACGGCTGGGTTGACGACAGCAACAAGTGCATTTTATATGCACCATGCAACCGTGGAAAACGAATCATTATTCTCCATGCTGGCAGTGAAAATGGATTTATACCTAATGCCTTGCTGTTATCTGCCAAAAATGTCAAAGAATCATGTGCCGACTATCATGAGGACATGTCCTCCGACTTATTTGAAAAGTGGATAGAGCAGCAGTTAATACATTTCCCCAAATTCAGTGATTATTATGGACAATGCGCCATACCATTCCAGACAGAAAAACAAAATTCCGAATACAGGCACAAAAAAACAAGACATTATTGATTTTATGAAGGATAAGGGAATGGAAATACCACAAAAATCAACCAAAGCCATATTATTGGATCTTATTAAAAGACAAAAATTTGAAAAAGAGTATGTTGTTGACAATCTGCTTCAGCGAAATGGCCATGAAGTATTACGTCTACCTCCCTATTACTGCATTTTTAACCCGATTGAGTTGGTCTGGGCTGCTTTAAAAAAAAAAGTTAGAAAACATAATCAGACCCCTCAATTAAGTGAATCGCTATTGGCCACAATGAGAGATGCAGTATGGAAGCAGTGTTCTAGGCATATTATTGAAAAAGAAAATGAATATTGTGTTTTGCCTCCTGTAAATCCCGTTGTAATTCCTCTACAAGATGACTCTAGCGACAGCTCCGAAGGCGAGGATGATATATAAATACCTATAATGTAAGTCTTTATATACCTTTTTATATACCTACCTGCTATGTAAATATTTGCCTATGTCAAACGTTGGAATTCTGTAATTTTTCCATTTCTTAACTTTCAGTCAACATAAATTAAACTCCCAATATAAGTATTTTTTATCCCAAATCAAAAAAATAAGAAGATAGTAAAATCCATTTATTGTGATATAAAAACATTATTATTATCGTTCTAAATAAATGACCGCACGCCTATGATACGTCATGAAATTACAAAGGACGCGCCGACCAAAGGTTTTTATGCTATTTCAAGTGACTTCAGATAAAGTATACCAATATTTCCGAAACATTGGGTCGTGAAGTTTGGTGACAAATGAAGCTCGTTCTATTTTTTTATTTTTACTTTCCAAGCCACTGGCAAGGAAGTATTTAGTCGCGACAAATTTTGTAAATGAGATGATGTTATATGTCACAGAAGACCATGTCACTCGTTTCCGTCTGCCTGCCCGCTAATTCTTGGCCCCGCTGTAACGGTAGGATTTCGAAGAAATTTTCACTGAAGTTTACTACTGTGCCAAGGACGAAAAGGCTTTGTAGCTTTTCGGTACACAACTGGAGGCAAAAAGCGGGGAAAATAAAAATCGTGTACGTGTAATGCATATCTGACAATTTCTCATTAGCAAAATTGACCATTCTTTTTATTATTAATAATACGCGAAGAAAAATTTTTGAAAATTGAAAATTATGGGTCGTTGGGTGTTGTAAATGTTGGTATCATTGAAACGCGTTTTATTATCTAGAAATCTGTCAAAAAGATTGGCTTGATGATCGTATTGTATAGCCCTATTTTAGAGATTCTAGATACGTTTGTTGACCTATTATTCCTGTTCAGTTTTCCCTCACACTTATTTGCCTTACCGATTCTATAGTTTGCTTCGGTTTCCTCATGCATTTTATTACTAATCAGTGATCCTAAATCTCATCCGCCTCCTCAAAAATCTTTTTTCTGTGCTGCTTACCATTATTATTCTATTATCATAAATTTACTTTTTGTCTCGTTTACCTACAATCCCGTTTTTGCTGCAACTTGTATAACAATTCAAGATCATTTGTTTTAAATTGAACGACAAAAATAATTTTCATTTGGCAAAAAACCATTGGCGTACCATTTTTTTCTTAAAAAACCCCGTACGCACGCCTCTGTTAAAGCTAAAAAGTATTTTTGCATTGAAAAATATGCATCTTTATTAACTTTCAGTACGTACTAAATATCACTGAAATATCTGAAGCGGTTCTGAAAATATTAATTAATTTCCATTTTTTTTCTAAAACCTCAACACCCCGAGTTTTTGTAAGGAAACATTTTTGGATCATAGTTTATAGAGCAAACTAACATTAATTTTTCATGAGATTCACATCCTTAAATATTCGCATATCATTAAGGAACACCCTGGATAATGGGTCTCTGTTTTTAAGTCCTGTATTAACGTCAAACTTCATACTTCATATTTACTGTTTGTCTCATTGTCATTCTTGTGAGGTTTATGAGTTTTCGAGGTATACAAAAATAATTCATTGTATGAAGTAAAAAAAAATAATGTCGCAAAAATTGTAGGATTTCTCTATACAACATCTCCCGATTTCTTGGCTTAGAAGCTGAAAGACATTTGGAAGCGCCTGTCAGACGCCGCCGACGAGTACAGCGCCCACCACCCCTTTATTTGCGAAAATGCGCAACAACAACAACACGGACTGCGACTCTAATAGACAAAACGTGTAATTTGGCATTCGTCCCAACGACCAACGACCGCAAATACCTATCCCATTATATCCTCCCTCAACGGTACGTGCTCAACAGTGACGTCAGTGACGTCTAGCTACATCCACGGCATTCGAGCTGACAAGGCGGGCGGTGCTGGCCGCACTTCGTTATTTGTCATCGTCACTTTTACTCGGTTGCCTTTGGACTCCCGTTACAAGGGTCACCGCATTAGCGTCCTAAATAAATGGGTACAAAAACAGATAGCTGTTGGAAATTGATTGCTGAAGGTATACTTTATCTGAAGTCACTTGAAACACTGTGAAATACCGGGTGCGTTTTATATATCTATATTTAACACGCTCTGTTGCTGCAAAAATCGCCAAATTTCGCAGCAAATATCCCCCGTATAAGATCAAAGGCAGTTTCACCGGTCCACGTGGAGTAAAACACGCCTATGCGTGGACATAGCCAATGAGAAAGCGTGTATTTCAGAGCTCTGAACAAGTGCAGGTGGCTACTGAAAA